TAATTATGTCAGCGCAACTATCAGTGCAATGAAGATAACATGAAAATTCATTATAAGTGCATTGGTAAGAGGTACATTGCTTCAGAGATACTTTTTGTAGGAGCCTTTCCTCAGCAGCATTGTAAAGTCTCATCTGGGAGAATATGGGGGACAGGTGATCAGCAAAGGTGGAGTGACTGAGTAGTGTACAGAGGGCATGCATGTGAGCGTGCAGATGCTGAAAGTGCCAGATTGGATTAGCTATGGAAACTAAGACTGGTCATTATTTGCATTTTTTTACAATCAGGGAGGTTGCAGGTGTAGGTGATTCTGCCTCATGAGAAGTAAAAGAACAAGGTCAATAGAAACTTAAGGGTTACTTTTCTATGCTTCTTTTTCCTTCAGCGGTACTATCTCATTTTGACACACATTAATTCTGTTGTGAAATTATCATACCCTAATAGACCCATAAAATAAATATTTTATTTAAACAGAAAGGGAAAGAATCTGAGGTCAGGCAGGTCCAGCAGGGAAGTGGAAGAGGTACACGGACAGATATCAGCTGACATGAAACCAGGAGTAACAGTGAAAAGACAAAAAGAAAAAATTGAAAAGGACTGAGGGAGAAATGACAAAAGTTGATAAGTGGGAAGGGTGAAAAGGATGTTACTAATGATATGAGAAGAGTTGTTTCTGGAAAAACTGACTCGTTGGACAATGATTCACACAATAAACACCTGGACGTTTGCCTTTTTTTGTTGGATTTACTCAGAGAAACAGCTGGCGCAAGGACCCAGTCTCACTGCTGAGTTTCTTCTTGTGATTTTATCTGTGGCACCATGTTATGACTGTTGTAAAGCCTTAAGTACTTCTGGACTTTGTCATGCGTTTGACAAGGGAGATTTTTTTTTTTTCTCCTGTGCAGCTGCAACCTGTAAGCAATTGCTCTGTGCCTGGGAAACTCTTTCAGCCAGAGAAAGATACTGGGTGTGACAGGCTCACCTCTGACTTCAAGTAATGGGGACATTCAATTAGGCATACTAGGTACATTTGTGTATTTGTACTCCAAGTAATACACTGCACTTCCCAGCAACTGAACTTCCAAGCAGAGACACTAGCTCTTGAAAGACAAATGCTTGACTTGTTTATAGGGATCACACTTCTGACATCATGACTGGAGTTACTCTGCACTTGTCATGTGAAGGAGGACTAAAAATGTCATTAGGAATTTGTGTATGTGAGTTTAGTTCTGCCACAGGAAGTCTCACTGTTTTAAAATTACTACTTCATGTTGAAAGAACTGCTCATTTTTATCCAACTAGTTAATCTGCATGTAGGTCAATTAAAATCAGTGTATTTCAGAGAAAGTTAATTTCCCTCTCATTATATTTATTTAGAAACCATCAGCAACTTAATGCTTTATTCAGAACTGGTTTTGAGATGGACTCTAAAGATAACTCACTGCTAAGCAGACAGCTTTGAGAAAGTCTGAATCATTCTGAGTGCATGAGTGAATGGAGAACACTTGTGTCTTAAAGCGTGCTGAAAGCATAGCCTAGAGTTTTTTTCCTGGAGAAATACATTTTATTTATTATTTGTTTTACCACTGTCCTTTACAGCCCGATTGATTTCAGTTCCCTTTACTGCAGGTGTCGTACTGCAGAGACTAGTGGGGACGAGTTCCCTTGAAAGGCTACAAACATAAACAGACGTGAAAGATGGCACACAAGGGAAAGGAATGATTGCATCCTTTATGAGATAAGTATCTGGAAAAGGGCAGACAGAGTGATTTGCCCAAAGATACCCAAAGTAAATTTTTAGTAGAGCTCAGACAGAATTTGAGCTTTCCACTATGAGGACTGATATATTATTTTCATAACTCGGCTGGGTGCTTCCCACAAACGGATCTGCTGTGAAAACAAGTCACCTTTATGTCCAAATTCTTGTCTTCTGAATGTGAATTATTCCTGCAACTAGGCAAGTAGCAAACATGCTCTCCACCCAAGGCCCGTGTCCTCTCCTCTCTACATGCCCTCTTACAGAAAGGCTGTCTTTCACCTGTGGCTCAAACCATGCCTTGCATCCTCTTTTCTCACAGCCTGAAAACAAATTAAATCATTAGGAAAATCATAAAGGATGTAAAAATACTGAAGGCTATAAATTACCTTGGAGCTACCTTGCCTCCTTACAGGGCTGCTGTTTCATACCACACCTAGTCATTAGAATCAATAATTTTCCATGCAGTTAATGTTTGAGCTACTGAACCTCTGAGGGCAAGTCTGAGGAACTATAAACTGGATAAGCACAGACAGACATCACCAACCTGTGCAAAGGTGATTCCCACAGCTGAAAGAAAGAAGCATTTTTAGAGCAAAATAAGCTTTTCATGTTACAGGTAAGGGATAATCTAACTGACATTTCGCAGAAAGATTTTAAAAGCTGAAGCGGTGGTTTTGCTAAGGGATTTTCAGGCAGTGTTAGGAACTCAGCTGTCCCTGTAAAATGGATGACTGCTGTGCTACAGCTTAGTCTGGTTTATATTTGATTTGGATCAATTTCCTCTGTTTTCTCTTTGCTGAATTTGAACATCTGAAATCAATCAACTAAAGAAAATAATATTTTTTCCATGGAACCAAATACTTGTGATTGATACTGATCTTTAATCTCCAGGAATATTCTTTGTTCTCTGAATGTTTATTATTGAAAGTCACTGGAATATTTGTATGATGGTTATCCTAGAGATTTCTCTTCAGTCATGGGAAGCGTGGGGGATTATTAAGGATATAGCACTGAGGTGAAGCTAAGAAATGAAAGAGAAAATATGGCTTCTGTCCTCAGTCAGATCTCAAGCTGCTTTTACTTAAGATGATGCTATTCTAATCCTGAAATTGCCTGTTACTGAAAACTTTTATATGACTCTATATATACTGAGTCTTCTGAGTGACAGAGGAGTATGGATTTTGGGACTTCAGTCCTTGGCAGTGAGATGGCTCATGAGACTTGGTAACAATTTCCACCCCAAATGTTCAAGGACTGATCAAGACTTGCAATGGGCACCATAAATGGCATGACATAAGGAAATGATGTTTATGTTCAAAGAGAAGGGAATATCAAATGTGCTTGTCATGCAAACTGTGAAATGGCTGCATTTCCACTGCTGCATTTGGTAGCTGGATCTGGACAGGAGAATTTGGCCATGACACAGCCACATTTAGCTATTAATTTTCCAGAATTTTCTGTCCCAGAAGTAAGGCTGGATGTATCCCTGAAACTTTCTCCTCTTCCATGGTAGGTCTTGCTCCTTCTCTTTTCCCAGAATCCAGACCTCCCCATATGGTTTTTCTTTCCTTTTGATGGCCTCCCCCAGTACTTTTAGCTCCCTGGTGTTCCTCCACCGCTGGCTGGCAAAGGGGCACCTCCAGCCGTGCCTCCTCCAGAGGGACAGGCAATACCCTGCAGGGAGCCCCTGGGCACAGACTGCAGCCTTACAGGGTAGAGGGAACACCTTGGGTACTCTGCCCCGCATTCCACCCCAAATTAATAAGGAATGAGTTTTTTTAAGTTCCCACATGGCTGCTAAATGCAGCTGGAACTGGCCAACATACTCAGAAGAGAGAGGCAGGAGGGGAGGGGAGAAGCTGTACAGGCAGAGGAACTGAAAGAATTTTCATTCACTGTATAACCAGAATATCAGCAACAGTTTTGGTTCAAGGTGTCCTTCTAGGAGGTTCAAAGTGTCTTCTTCTCTCTGCCCTGCCTGTGCCACCTCTCCTGGCTTCAGGAGGTTTGTGAAGGACCCACAAGCCAAGCATCTACAGGGAGCTCAATTTCAGCCCTTCAGAGTCCTGACAAATTTAATAATTTTTCTGCTCACTTCTGATTTCAAAAGCATGTCATATTATTTTCTTCCAGTACCCACACAGTTATCTCCAGCCCAAGGAAAGAGCCCAGTACTTTCAAAGGGTGTAATTGCACACACAATATAATCCAGCTCAGAATGGGATTTGGACAATAAAGTCCTGTGGCACGTCCTAGAATGAGTGCTGGAGAGAACAGCAGTGTGGGTAGCAGTTTCTATACTTACAAGTCCCCTTTTTGTTCAGCCATTGAGGAAAGAAAAGGGGGAGGGGGGTGGAATGGTATGGTAGGAAGCACAAGGGGGAAGGCATCTGGAGGGAGCTGTGCCTCCACACGGTGTTCTCCCCACTGGGGGTCTCCATGGGACAGAGCTGTGGAAGGATTCCTGTAGGTGTGAGCCATATAACACGAAGCACCACTGAAAATGGCAGCACAATACTCCAGCTTCACCTCTTTCCAGAACCGGCCTCATCCCCTGTGTTAAAATCTAGGAGTAGTGAGGAAGTAGGATTGAATTTTGAGAAAGCCATCTAGTTCTCAGGAGAATGTAACATAAATTGTGGAGGTGTGTGGTCGACATTTCTTTGAAATTTGAGGCAGAGAGTGCTCCTTGGACTTGGGAATTTTGTTTCCAGTAGCCATGTTGTTTTAGGGGGTGCAGACACCTTAGGCTTCCTTTGCCTCTGTGCTGTGCAGGAAGCAGTTAGGTTTTTGGAACCAGAAGACAGACAATTCAGGATGGTCTCTGTGAAACTTTTGTCCTGTGGTGATAGCATTTCCTGTGAATGTCTCATTGCTTTCAGTAAAGCAGAAATGAAAATGGGTTTGCGGTACAGAATCGTAACAATGTGATTGCACGGCTTGAATTTTTGTGCCGGGCTCAATCTTTGACAGCTCTTTGGGGCTCTCACATGTTGCATCTCTTGCACCATCAGGAACAACCTGCTGGGCACAGCCTTCCTTGGCAGCCCAGGGGCACCAGTGGTCTCACCTCTCGTGGGCAGAGCTGCACCTGCTCCCTTGGGGCTCACTCCTCCATCTCTCTCCCTGCAACTTCAGGAAAACTCAGCTGTTGCCTTAGTTTGCAAATAGACTGGGCCAACTCTGTGGGGCTGAAGTGACTGTCATCTCCTTGCAGGAGCTGAAGCAAAGCATATTCCAGTATGCTTAAGCTGTGTGGACTCCAATTTCTGCTTCTCATTCAGTCGGTGAGTTACAGGTTTTCTTTGTTTATCTGTGAGCAAACAGCAAAGGTTGCCTGCGAGCCTCAGAGCTCGGATCCATGGGGTGTGCCAGCCTGCACTGGTGCCAGCAGACTGCCTGTAACTCTGGGGGTGGGAGTGTATCCCCAGCACACACGTGTTACCCCACAGCAAGTTAAGAAGACATCTCAGTCATTAGGGAAAAAACCTTCTAAAACCCTAGAAGACACCAATTTACTTGTTTTGCCTCTTCTACTTCCTCTTTAGATATCACTGTTTCCAATACATGAATTTCATGCTAGAAAAGATTTAAACATACTACAACAAATCACCAAAGAGTGAAAACATCAGTATCATGTGTTCTGCATTATAATCCATACATGTGCTGACATATTAAATGTATTCTAAGACACATAATGGCTCATTGTTTAAACTGCGCATATTAATTATGTATCCTCATTATTTGGTTCCCGTGAATCCCTTCTCAGAGGATTTTCTGGAGCTGAAGTGCATTAATTATGCTCTTTATGGACCTCATATATTAAATTCAATAGGTTTACTGATGTTTGTAAAGGCTGCAGCAATGGTGACTTCTACTTCACAATTGAAATTAACAGAAAAGATTGAAAAAATGCATCAAATTCAAGTTCAGTAAAAAATACCTCAGAATATGGAGACCTTGAGGGGTAGCACAGTGAGCACCTCCTTTTCCCTTCCCATTTCACAAGCTGGTGCTTGTGGCAGTGCTGGACCCCCAATGAAGCCACTCTGCCGGCATTATAACCATCTTCAGAAGAGATGCCAATGGATATGGACCAAGAGGTAAATCCTCTTTCCCCTTCAGGCTCCTGCGTAGTGATTCATGCTGCAGAAATATGTTTGGAAATATTTATGGTCCACATAAAGTAATTTTAATCAACTGAAGTGATATCGCCTACTTGCTTCATAGGCTGCACTTTGAACTTGTTGGGTTTTATAGCAGCAGCCTTTGTTCCTCCATGGCAGGGAACATGATAAAGCAAAATCTGTCCACCAAATGGCCCGGGAAAAGGCTCCAGGAGCCAGGCTGTGCCAGCCTGTGTGACATGGGAACAGCCATAGCAGGTCAGATTCAGGGTCCTCACATCTGGTCCCACGCAGAGGCCAGCAGTCAGCATTTTGCAAAAAATATTAAAAGGTAGCTGCAAAGTGCAATCTCCTGGATGCATAACTATCTGATTGCATTTGTTGATATTCTTCCATTGACACTATTTTCCATTAGCATCCCTTGGTCTCCTTCCACAGCTCTCTGTTTTTCCTGTTTTCAAAAGGAGTCACAAAGCCTTGTAGGCGAGTGGGACAGCATCTCTGGCTATTATTAAGAACAATATGGAATTATTGAAACACTAGTTGTGACACACACACACACAGAGCAGTGCTTTAGGGTGAATTGTACTGAACTTAGCTATGTTTTTGTCATAGGCAGAATTAAGCTTTCCCTTGGTAATATGCAGACTGTGCTTTTCTGTGAGAAATTGAATAGCTGTCCCAGCAGCAATAGGATCAAATCCAGAGGAAAAGTCATGCAGCAGAGAACACACACTCAGCTCTGGTGTGATGGACAGGGTCGTAATGGTACTCTAAATCTGTAAGGACAAAATAAATTAATTTTTACTGTGTAAGAAAAGAAACTTTACCTGTGCAGCCAAATAATAGAGCCCTAATTCTGACAGGCAGATCCTCAGTGTTGTCAAGATAGGTGGTGAAGAGAGTGAATTTCGGGAAGCTTGGTCTTGCCTTTGAAGAAACAGGTTGATTATCTGAACCACAGTGTGAATTGTTTTGTGTACAAGGCCTGCCCTGAGAAGCTCATGTTTGCTTTGTTGTTTTTTTTGTTTGGAAGCAAAAACAGCCCTGAAATGTTAGGGCAGGAGAATGGAGGGCTTTGGGCACTGGGGAGTGTGTGGTTATAAAACTCATGAAAATTTGGCAGAAAAACCATGATAAGACATTGCTAGCCATTAGGAAGAAAACAGAGCCTGAGACAAATTTGTATGACATTTTCGCCATCAGGTAAAAGCCAAAGATCTGAGGGACACACTTGTTCTCTCTGCGGTTGGCATTCACACAGAATTAATGTGAAGGCACAGGGCTCAAGTGGCTTGCCCAGATAGCTGTGGCACTGAGGGACACAGGAAGGGCCACCTCGTTCCCATACAGAAAATATTTGATTCACTGGGGAAATTACAAAGGGTTCAGCCACTGCTCCTCCCCATCCCCAGGTGTGATGCTGGGTTTCCAGACTCTTGTCTTCACAGGGCTTTGTGCCTCTGGATGGGTCGTGGATGGTCCCGCTGGAGACACAGAGGAGATCCAGCCATGATTTCATAAATTCCCTTTTGATCTCAGTCTACATTCACCTATTTTCTTCTTCTGTTTGCTCTTGAAGGTAGATCCAACCTCATTTAATTATGTAATGGCAGAAAAGAGCAGGGCACAAGCCTTTGTTCTCAAATTAATGAATAAATCGTACTTCTTTAAAATATTATGTGCACTAAAGAACCTGGAGATGTTCAGTGCAAGCCTGGAAGAGTCTCTGCCATTATAGTATAGCAAAATATCTTGCAGGAGGCTCCGTGGAGGGGAGCTGCTGTCTCTGTGTGGTAGCAGCAGACATCCCTCAGCTGCTTTCCTCCATCCCTCTCTCTCTCTCCCCCCCACAGGCTATGTGGCTTAATCTGGAGGGCCTGCGTGTAAGTGGGCCTCTGAAGGACATGGACTTCTTTGTTCAAGAAGGAGGGGGTCCACGCATCCTTCACCAGGTAATCAAGTGTCTTTTCTTATCCACTCTGGTCAAAAACCACATAGCCTGCATGCAGAGACCACATATGAAGTGTTGTCTCTGCGCTGGTGGGAAGAACAGTCCCTCAGGAGGATTCAAAATTAATTTTTAATTCCTCTCTCTGGGAATTCAAGGGTCTACATGCAAAGAGCAGTGAGACAACCCCCTCTCAAACACATTTTTAAGAAGATATCCTAAGACGGGGATTAACAAAAACAGCATTCCTGGAGAATTTCTTTCCATGTAACTTGTGTCATCATTTTCCTTTGACTCTGAGGTTTTCCTCCCAAAGCCATAACCACAGAAGGACAGATCCAGCTCCCAGGCAAACGGAGGATGTGTGTCATTTTTTTCCATTCCTGTGCTCAGACAAAGCCTGCCCTAAGCAGACGTTTGCTTTGGAAACAAACTGCAGTTGGGATTTCTTGCAGCATTCAGGAAATAACGTGAAAACCCCTCTGCTGAGGATCAGAAAAGAGCAGACTTGTTTGAACAGACCCTTGGAATATCTTGGAATATCCTTCTCCCAGCCAAACACTCTGTTGGCAATAGATTTTAAAAGTCACAAAAGCATGAAATTATTTTATTATGGTGAAAATGATGAAATAATTACGATTTGTCCCTGTTTTTTTTGCCATTGTAGTTCACACTTGAGTCACCTGCTGTGAGTTTCAGAATGTCTGGTGAAAAAGCTGGAATTATTGACATTGAGCCGAGGACAGGCATCCTGTATATCAACGGGTCTCTGGACTGGGAGACCAAACAAGTGCACAAGCTGCAGGTAAAAATTTAGTGAAAAATAGGAAGGGAGAAGTCTTCACATTCACCCTCTTTTGGTAGACCTGATATTGAGAGAAATCTGTTGAAATTTTGAATCCTTTACTTTGCCTATGTTTACAGGCAGGTTTTTGATTTTTGATATCAAGATTTGCTGGAAGACATACCACAGCAGTGGAAGGCTATGTTGAGAAAACAAAAAATTGTGATGCCAACACCAACCCTTTAACTCTCTTAATATGAGGGAAATACTTGACTGGAATTAAAATCTAGCTTCACAGATGAGCTTCTCTTGCTATCCCTGAAGGCTGATAGGGTGAATTCTATGTCTGGAGTGGAAAAATAAGGTATTTTAATAATTTAGAAAGCTTATGATATACATGGTGACAAACTGAGATGAGCTCAGTTGGTTAGAGTATGGTGCTAATAATGCCAAGGTTTGATCCCTGTGTAAGCCATTCACTTCAAGCTTGGACTTGATGATCCTTGTGGGTCACTTCCAACTCAGAATATTCTGTGACTCTGTGGAACAGTGTGAGTAAAAGACATTTAGGCAGAGAGGCACAGATCTAACCTCTGTCAGATAACAGCAGAAAGCTATTTGGCAGATGTTGGACTCTAAGAGAAGAAGCAGCTTTGTGTACTTGTCCTGCCATTATTCCCTTTTACGAGGATCTCACGAGTGTAAACACCACTGAGAATGGAGCAGTGGATAGGCAGTCTTTGGGTTTCAGTATAGCCTTGTCCTCTTAAACTATGTCCAAAATGGTGTTGTCTTTTTCTGAGGCACTAGCAGCTGAGAAAGAGATGATCATGAGGGGATCAGTATCTGAATAGACAAAGTACATGATGATTTTTTAGCCAGCCTTAGCAGTCTGTCTAAAGTCTAGCACTTCAGGTTACATGATTTCACATTCTCAGCTCTAAAGCACCCTTGGATTGGAATTAGGGCAATTTTCTAGCCCCAGAAGTTAATAACCTTAAGCCTGTGAATCATTTATAGACAAAAAGTGATGACAGAATGAAAAAATTATGCCTGTTTAGACATAAATAATCGTGATTTTATCTATTATGTGCAAACAAAATGAAATGTGACAGATATATACTTCATGCTTTAAAATTAAAAAGGCTAGAAAATAAGTCAAATTGTTTGAAAAAAAAGTCATTAGAATTAAGAATTAATTTTTCTTTACTAACCCTTCTTTCAGACTATTTTTCTGATTTATATTTATAATAGCAATTAGTTATAAATGCTATATCAGGTTGAATTTTCTCCTTGTGTGCTAGAAAATATATATTGCTGTTTAAGGAAAAACATGAATTCTAAGCTATGCAAAACTACAAGTAGTCTGCTGAAACTGGAAGTGGGAAATTGTCCTCTGAAAGATATCGTGGGAAGCAGAAGCGGGTTATTTTGTTTAGTTTGCATTATATACTGTTGCAAATTTTGTCAGGGAGGTACAGTGGCAAATTTGTCCTTGTATGTGGACCTACCCAGTGATGGCTCCCACCAGATTTGCATGACAGTAAGAGTGACCTGGCATCTGACATCCTGATATTAATTTATGGCTTTTAACCTGAAAATATTTTTTTGCTGTTTGTTCTTTTTTCAAATCAGGTGGAAAGTCTGGATAAAAGTGGAAACAAAGTTAAAGGTCCATATTCTGTTACAATACATGTGGAGGATATCAATGACAACCCACCAGAGTTTGACCAGAAAAGGTACTTTGGAATAGTGAGGCAGAACTCTCGTCCAGGTAATTGCCACCATAATTAAATATTAACATTAACGGGAAGGTAGGTAAATTAAGCAGGAAGGTAAAGTGGTTGCTATACAAGCTGGAAAAAGATCAGTTTTTCTTCCTACAGGACTGTACAAAATAAGGATGAAAGCTGCTATAATATAATGAAAGGGCAAAAAGAGGTGACTGCAATGTGGTGTGAAGGGATGAGTGCAATTGGAAATATTTTTTAGTACTTATTCTTTGCAAGTACCACTTAGCATGCAAATATTGCTCTAAAAAAAAACAACAAAAAAACCCTTATGCTAGAATGGGTTTGAAATTAAATTTAAATTTTAAATTAAATTTAAATTTTAAATTTAGCTTAATTCTAAACTTAATTAAATTTTAAATTTAAATTTAAAATTTAAAGGCTACCAAAGACTAAACAGAAAGAGAATGCTATGACTAAGTGAAATCTTCACATATCAGTTAAAGAAATTGCCAGGGTAGATATGGAGTATGTGCTTACCATGACTGATGCTTCTCAGAACATGGGTTGAACCTAGGATTTAGAAGAGAGTCTTAGATTATTGATTGCAGTGATCCAGTCCAAGAGTCATGAAGGTATCAAAGAGCAGTTTGAGACTTACATCTTGGAAATGAAACAAAGGACTCATGCAGCTGTTATTGCTGTGACTATGGACTCAAGAAGAAACTTTTGCTAAAGAATATGCATATAAACCTCCATGGGGTCAGAAAAGCCTTCTGAAACATATTACTGTACTCTTAACTTCATCCAAGTCAAAAAGATTTTGAATATTGCACAGGTGCACAAAAGATAAAAGCTGAGTTACATTACTGTGTACTTTTGTTTTTCACTGTATGATTGTTTTTTATGATTGTTTTTTTATTGTATCTGTGTCGTAGGCCGTACACCATTTTTATCAAGGTGCTTTGGGGTTAACTGATTTGTGTAAGAACTGCAAAGTGGCCTTAAGGAGAGATTCCAACGAGCTGAATTCTAGGTTCAGGCACTCTTGTGTGATAGATAGGTCTCTGCTGATACAACTCTGACACCTTCTTCATCGGCTGGTCACCACACCTATAGTGATGCTACTGAGTAGAGCTGGTGGAGGGTTGACCTGTGGGATGGCATACAGCAGTGTAACCTCTACACTTGGCTTCCAATGAGAGCTGCATTATGGAGCAACCATATGGAGCTGATGGTAGCTCCCCATAAGCTGCTGTCCTGGTTTGGGAGCTCTGCTCCAATGGATTATGTGTTGAGTTCAGTCTCCTCTCTTACCACTGTTTCTTCTCCAATCCAAACAGGCAAGCCCTTCATGTATGTCCATGCCACTGACCGTGATGATCCCACAACTCCCCATGCTCAGCTGTCATACAGCATTCTCCACCATTTTCCCAACCCATATAAAGAAATGCTTTTCCAGATTGATAATGAAACTGGAGCAATCTCACCAAGCAGGACAGGTACGTAAAAATACTTGTTTGCAAAGAGCAAGCACAAGTTCTGGGGTGTGCATAGGAACAAAACAACAACACAGGTCTGATGCCACACTCTGAATAAATGCAGTCAGTGGGACACACTCCACTAAAGCCCTGGGCTTGGGGAACTTGTTTTCTGTCCCACCAAATTCAAGGGAAGCTAGCAGAAATGGAGATTGAGATCTAAAAGTATACTGAGAAGAGAAATAGATCCTCCAGCCTTCAGGACTACACTGCGTCATATCTTGCAATTAATTCTCTGCCTTGAAATTTAGAAACCCAAAAGCAGTAACATGAAAAATATTTCTGAAAATGCAGAGAAAGCTCAGCGGGACATGCGATCCCAGCTAAATTGCAATAATTTAGAAACACCCATCTATTCTGCTGGGCTGAACAAGGGCCTAGCTGGGGTGAGGGCTGTTCAGTGATGCATCTGCACAAAATGAGACCACAGCAGAGAGGCCTCATATGATTCCATCCACATGATGCTATGCTGCATTGTTCAGAGAACTCGGAGGAAGTGGCTTGCTAAGGTTTGTCCCAAAGGACCATCTAAGGAGTAAGTCTGAAGCAGCTAAAGAACCATAGTGTATGTAGAAGGCAACAGGCAGACAAGCAACCCCCACAGCCTCTGTGTCACTTCTCCTGACTCTTTGCTCTGTCTCTAGGCTCTTATTACTTGGATCCTCAAAAGCAGGCCATCTTCACACTTGTTGTCTCAGTGAAGGACATGGCAGGGACAACAATAAATGCTTTCACCAGCAGTGTTGATGTGATCATCACTGTGATGGAGAGCCTGTGGAAAGCTCCTCCCATCATCCACATCAAAGAAAACTCAACCCAGGTCCACCCTGTCAACATCAGCAAGGTAGGGTCCTTGACCACGCTCCTTGAACTTCTCCTTGTACCACACAATTGTTTCCTCACAGTTAACTGTGAAGATGTTCCCACTGCATCCAACACCAAGTTTTTCAGAAGGACTTTGACACCCCCCAGCTATTTTTTTAATATGGCATCCTTTGGAAATGATTGTTAGTGGAGTTCTCATTGACTTTTTGTTAGCATGAAAGTTAATAGTTTGAAGGTGATGAGATACAGTCAATGCAAACACTAGAGTGACTGGACTTTGCCTTTCAGTTTGGGAGCAAAATCCAGTCATGTGTCCTCCAGGCTTTGAGCAGACCAAGAGTTTTTTGGAGCTTGTTTGGAGGTTAGCTTCTTCCATCTGCAGAAGAGCAGGACAGGGGACCAGCTCCACAACAGCCCTGCTGTGGGCAGTACCCCACCCTCAGGGAGCCCTACTGTGACCAGTTTTGTATCACCCAGCACAACCGATACATAAAAAATACCTAGAATGGATTGAAATACCCTCCTTCACATCCTGCATTCTCACAGTATTCCTCTTTTCACAGTTCAAGCACAAAATATTTTGCTGATAACTGCAGACCAATGGCAGTGTATACATCATTACATATTAACTAACAGGACAACAGCCTTTCAGAAATATTTGTCTTTGAAAAATGCCTTGGCAATGACATCCCCAATGCTGTCATCCCTTAAACATGGCAGGATTCCATGGATGCTGCTCACAAGAGTAACTGGCTTGGTGCTTTTACCACTGGCGTCAGTGACAGCCCAAGGAAGTCCAGAATGAAAACAGATGGAAAGAAGGCTAACATGTAACAGCATACCCATTTTGGGGTCATTTGTATATAAATTTCATGTGGTATCCAGTGGCATGTTGATTCTGCCTAGGGGAAAATGAAATGCAGTTGCTGCTGTACAGAACATGAATGTTAACACTGACTCCGTTAATTTGCCAATCTGTGTACTTAATTTCATTTTAAATGTGTGGCACCCCAGAAAAGAGCCTTCCTCATAAACTTTGAAGAATGTAAAGAATGTACACACACCTATTTACAGACAGGTACCAGGTATTTGTTTTCGCAGAATCACAGAATCACAAGATATGCTGTGTTGGAAGAGACCCATCAGGATCATTGAGTACAACTCCTGGCCCTGTGCAGGAAAATCCAAGAGTCACACCATGTGCCTTGAGACCATTGTCCAACTGTTTCTTGAACTTGTGAAGGATTGGTACCACTTCCCTGGGAAGCCTGTTCCAGTGCCCAGCAGCCCTTTTCTTGATATCTTGGACCTCCCCCAGCTGAGCTTCCTCAAGTCGTGCCCCTGGTCATGAAAGTGAAGGGATCAGTGCCTGTCCCTCTACCTCCCCTCATGAGGATGTTGAGGTTTCCCCTCAGTTTCCTCCAGGCTGAGCAAATAAAGTGTCCTCAACTGCTCCTACTAAGGCTTCCCCTCCGAATCCTTCACCATCCTTGTGGCTCTCCTTCAGACACTCTCAAATAGCTTAATGTGTTTTTTATGTTGTGGTGCCCAAAACTGCCCCCAGCACTCGAGGTGAGGCTGCCCCAGTGCAGAGCAGAGTGAGACAATCCCCCCCCTTGTCCAGCTGGCGATGCTGTGACTCCCTGGATAGGATTGGCCCTCCTGGCTGCCAGGACATTGCTGACTCATATTCAACTTGCTACAGACCAGGACCCCAGGTCCTTTCTCTGGAGCTGCTCTCCAGCTTCTCATTCCCCAGCCTATACGTACAACCAGGGTTGCTTCATCCCAGGTGCAGAACCTGTCACTTGCTTTTGTCTAACTTCATACAGTTGGTGATTGCCCATCTCTATAATTTAGAAAAGGTCTTTCTGCAGGGCCTCTCTGTCCTGGATGGAGTTGACAGCTCCTCCTAATTTAGTGTTGTTTTGTTGCTCCATTTCTCTGACTTGCATAAAACAAAACAGGCAGGAATAGAGAGTCTAAGGAGACAGAAATAATTAGTATCAAGGTATTCAAATGCAAATAATGATTTTTTTTTTCTCATAATCACCATTTATTTCCATATCACAAGGTGCTCATACAGAAAGATAAGTGTCGCAGGCCATCTGGACACAACTGGTGGAGAAACAGAGGTAAAGTATCTCCACCACACAATTCAGAGAGCAGAGGTGGATTATCAGCAGGATTTTCTGCAGTTCATCCCGAGAGCCTGCCAAACTGTTAATTTTCTGGTTTATTAAGCTAACAGGAATGTGATTGCTTCTGTTTCTGTGATCCAGAAATGATCCCTGTTAAATCTCAGTCTACACTTCTGACTCCCTATCCGGACTTATTTTTGTTTTGTTTTTTTTTTTTAGGTGTGGTCAAATGAACCAGATGTAATTTATGACATTTTTGAAAAAGAAAAGCTCCCAAGGCTCCCATTTTCCATCAGTAAGGATGGGGATATTTATGTGACTGAACCATTGGACAGGGAAGAAAAGGATACTGTAAGTAAACATACAAAATTTCACTGATGGCAGAGATTACAGCAGGAAGATAATTATTGGTGTGGGAATAAATATGAAAAAGCTCAATAGAAAGGAAGGGGAAGGGGGAAGGTGAGAATAGATAAAAAGGAGGGAGAATAGATAAAAACTTTGTTTCTTGTCACTTTTGTTTGGAAATTATGTGATATATATGAAAGTTCATCCACCTACCACACTTCTACCACACTTCAGGTTCTGGCAGTAGCAATCACTGCCCACAGCACATGTACAATGTACAACATGGACCAGCTATGGCAGGGCTGTAGGTGCACGAGTAAGAGGTAGGTGGTAGGAAGTGTGGAGTGCAGGAGAACTGAAGGTTTCAGATCTACTTTAGACCTTGGGGACCACAGATTTTTAAATCTTTTGAGAACTCAGACCTCAGAAACTAAGGGGTGATGGAATAGTTCTGATTTAAACAGAGAGAAAATACAGAACGAACTCATGAGAGGATATTTCATATTCTCATAGTTACATACTAAAATTCAAAATACTGTCACAATGGACATTTAAATCATCTAATTGTTATATATTTGTTGCAGTATACATTCTTTGTGGTGACAAAAGATAACACGGGAGAGCTGGTGGACAAGCCTTTGCAAATTCACGTTATTGTGGATGACATCAATGACAACCCCCCTGTGTGCCAGAAGACCCTCACCATAATTGAAGTTCAAGAAAATGAAATGGGAGGTAAGAAAAGAACTTCTGTTAATTTATGCACCTCATTGTAGCCAAGTTGTTTCTAGCTGTGTGTGAATGAAGCTAGAAGTTCTGATCCCAAAGGTTGAAACGTGGCTTTCCCAGGGAGATATTTCCCTGTGCAAGTAGTCCTCCTGTTTTCCTGTCAGTAATTCTTGTGGAAAGGATTTCAGGAACCTGAGAAGGACAGACTCAAAACACCTACTTTAAAGATGCTGTTTTATTTAAATACATAAAACTGCATTTTCCCACAATCACAGATTTGGATGACTGCTTAGGCTGTGTAAAGAAAAGCACCTCTTTTATTACCAATACAAGAAATACTGTTCTTAAAGCAGTATGAGCCTATTTTCCCTCATCCAGCTGCTCCTCCAGCATAATGCCTTTGACTCCAATGGACTATTAGCAAAATCTGTCCAATGTCCTGACACCAGTTATTTGGTTTCAGGACTGAAGAGTCTGCTCTTAGAGTCTTTTGGACTGCCCTGACCCAAACCAGTATGTTGGGATGCTAAAGGACAAGTGAAATGATTGTGTCCATTGAAGTGTTTTCCATGCAGCTTTATTTTTACTGACCCTCTGCTCTTTGCACTGGTATCACTGTTGTCACTGTGTACTTCTGTGGAGAAACAGGACCACTGTTTTAACAGTGACCACTGCATTATCTGTCTGACTCCAATCTCTACTCTGCTACAGGAAGTAATATTGGCACCATGCTTGCTACAGACATGGATAAGGAGGACACCCTTAACTCTCGTCTGCGGTTCCAAATTCAAAGTCAGGAACCTGAATTTCCCGAAAAGAATCTCTTCTATATCCAGAAAGACACTGGGATTTTGCAATTAACTGGCCGTTCTTTACGCAAGCGTGAATCAGCCAAGTATTCCTTGAAGGTCCTGGTGACAGATTCAAGTATGTAATGCCTGCTGTTATACATTGGAATAACTCTGCTCACACTGGCATGACTTGTGTTCAGTGTCTAAGGGATGTGGGGAGACAAGGAGAGTTTGCTGAACAGGCAGTAGCACTGAGAGCTGTCTTGCTGTGGCATGGTACTTGCCCTGTTCTTGAAATGCAGGGAGATTAATCATGATTCATAATGAAAGCATGGAAGGGAACCAGCTCTAGGACAGAGTCTGGCTAAATTGGGAAGCTTGTTAACAAGTATTTCAGTAAGAGATTTCCTTCCATAGGGGGAAAAAATGAAGAGATCGTGATTGTGGTTTTCCCCCAGATCTTTCAAAGGGATTTAACTGAAAAAAAAATCAAGAAATTAAACACAGCTGCTCAGACAGTTCAGATAATATTTTAAAACATTAAGAGAAAATTAGGCTGAAATTAAGCTTCAAAAATAATCTTGTCCCTTATGTAAATTTCCAGGAATCCTTTGTGATTTAATGAAGGGGAAGGAAATCAAACTCCATATCAAAGCTTAAATATTTTTGCTGCAGTCCCTACAGTCAGGCAAAACTTGTGCATGAAGGAACTGGAATGTAAAGAAAGTAAGGAAAATTGTCATGTCTGTAAATGAAATGCCATCATTTTGGCAGATGATGGAAAATTTTCCAGAGGGAGAAGCTGGTGATTTGTTTTGGATGCTTATTTGAATTCCGTCCAAATAATGTTGTTTACAATTTTCCTTAACTTCCAGCTCATGAAGCTCATAAATCACTAAAATCCATCTATATATGTATATATTATGCTCTTAAAATCACAACTTGCCATTGCTATGGGTGCCCCTGCACAGGTAGCGATTAGATTTACATGGATCTGAAGTTTAAATCTGGCTGTAACAAAACTGAGGGTGCTGCCTGCTGACCAAGAGGACAAGGGAGCATTAACAACCCAGGGCTTACTTTTTGATATGGAAAAGTGATACTGAAATGGCTAACACAATTCATAGCTACCATCATCCTGGTAAACAGATATGGCTTTAAAAAGTGAGGGAAAGGAAACAGGATGGGACAGTGCTGAAGAAATTGGGAAGATCAATGGTAAGATAGAGAATGAGGCTGTCATTGACCAAGAGGTATCTGAGATAAGTGCTTCTCTCCACTTAGTGTTTAGATTGGGCAATCTGGCGGTGCTCACTTTTGCTCACAGTGAACTCTTCTGGAGGACAGTTATTTTTGGCAGAAAGGCTGGTGTGACACTTTGTTTTTATCTTCCCATGCAGAATATGAAACAATCTGTGATGTGGAAGTACATGTCATCGACATCAACGATCAAATTCCCATCTTTGAAAAATCAGATGTGAGTATTTTTAACACCATTTTGGATGTTCCAATAACTTTTGACAAGTATTTGAGCATACCTTCAATGTCTATAGAATATCCGTGGGAAACTAGCCATTTACAAAACAAGTAACAGTGTAACCCACTAGTGAAAATAAAGGCAAAGTATTGCTGCAAGTCTGCATATAAGCTGTATCTAGACAGTGAAAATGGGATAGACTAACAGCTAACTATGAAATTTAAGGTAATTTTCTCAGTGGAAAAAGGTATGTACAGAAAGAAATTGTTATATTAAAGCAGTTTATTCCAGAAATGTAAGTTCTGAAGGGAAAAGAGGAAAAAAAGGCTTTAAACTTAATCAAACAGCTAGATGGAAATAAGCTGGCATCTTCCAAAACACAGAGCTAGTATACCCAGAACAGCCAGAAGGTGAATGGGAATCAAAAGCCCTGTGTGGTTTGGCCGGACACAGTGGTCCAATGATCCAAGCCCAAACACATACCTGGTTCCAGGATGGGTGTCTTGCCTTTTCTCTGGTGGAGGTCCTGGCGTCTGGCAGAGACCTGTAGACATTTTGTGACTTCTACCTGATGGCCCAAGCCTCCTGGCAGACACTGGAGTGGCTGGAGAGGTGTCCCAGCTCCCACCATCCTGCAGGACATGCAGGTGGTGGGCTCAGGAGAGCTGTCTGACCTAGCAGGCATAGTTGTCCTTTCAGGGAAGCTGTGTTGGTTTTGGGTCTTGGAGACCTCATTGCCCAGCTCTCTGTTGATGGTGATGGCAGCACAGTCACATGCAGACCAGGTGCCTGCATGGCAGGTTTTACACCATCTCACCTCAAGGTCTAAGTCCAGGACCTGACCTCAGGGTGAGGCTTCTGGGCAAGGGCACACATTAAAGAGCAAGAAGAGCTGGGATGCCAATGTGGCAACAGGCCAGGGTGCATGAAACAATCAAATATTTAACAATGAGTGGCCAGGGTGCTCACAGGGTACAGAGAAGCTGTGCTATCCCTGCTGTGTGATCATGGACTGGTTTTGACAGAGGAGCCAAAAGTTTGGGACTGGTGCTGTACTAGTGGCACTTACATAGCTCCCATCACCTACAATAAATCTGTGGCTAAAATATTCCCTCCTTCATGTGGCTGCTGTGGGTTAAAATACATCCATGCATGTGGGTTGCAAGCTTGTGGTTGTGCTGAAATTTTTATCCACAAATGGTGCTTGGTATGTCACATTTCAATGACACCTGTCTCTCCTCAGTATGACAGTGTGACCGTGGCAGAAAATATGCCAATAGGAACTGTGATATTAGAAATTCAAGCTACTGATGGAGATGAGCCTGACACAGGGAGCTCTCTCATCATTTACCAAGTGAAGGAAGGTGATCCAAACAACACGTTCATCATAGAGACAGACTCTCAAACAAACCAAGGGTTTGTCAAGATTAACAAGGTGAGTAGATGGATTTTATTCTTCTCCTTTAGTGTTACTTATTTGTCATACACTGCCCTGGTAATGATTTGTGGGGAGAGTGTTGACTGGTGGTGGGTGGGGACACCCTAAGCATGGTGCAGACTGCAGGAGGCTCCACTTTTGGGCTCAAGCTCTGTGCCTGTGCAGTGCTCGCACACACCTATTGTCCTGCCATTGCTGTGCTCTCACCCCCCACCACAACCAGCAGCTCCCTCCACTGGCTCTGCTGCTGGCTGCTTCTCCAGAGGAGCAGGTTCTGGCCAGTGAAGTAGGTCTTATGCACCATAAAGACAAAAAACATTTCATTATTTGAGTGATTTTGCAGCAGTGTTTCTGGACAAGAGAAGGCCAGCCAATGCTTCCATGGGCTGTGGTGGCAGTGGTGGGCTGTGAGGGGGCAGATTCTTCTCCCTGCAGGTGCTCTGGCCATTAATGCCCTTTGCAAAGCAAGGTGCAAGTGTAGCCAGCGTGTCTCAATGTCAGCATGGAGACACAGTTTGTTCTTGATGAGAGAAACATTAGCTGTGACCAAGCCAAGGACAGTGTGTGCTGCAGGAGGTGATACAGCCCATATGCTGAATGCTGGAGACAGGAATGTAAGGAACACTTTTTGCTGCGTCCATGAATTTCAATCGAAAAATTGCTTTCCCTTTGAAATTTAGTCTTCTCAAAGGTGCTAGGACTATGAGTCCAGAAAACCTATTGCTCATTTTCCAAGGGGTGCCACACTGTGTGCATCCAGCTCGAGTACTGCCACCAGGCCAAGCACAGGCAGAGGCAGCTTTTGGTGGACCATCTTCAGGATCAGCCTCACTTTTTCCCAAGGAGGTGATTGTGAGAAACTCCGTGGTGCAACAACCCTTGCATGACTTTTGGCACCCAGGGGTCATTTGAGGCCTTCTCATAAAGAGCTATAAATACTATTTCTGTAAACAGGATATTGTTATTAAACTTAGTCGAACAGGTAGCAACATTATTATAAACTGCAGTTGCTGAGGAGGCCTCTAAACAGGCATATGGTTTCATTTAAATTGACCATTTCCAGTGTCATTTTTTCCTGACAGCTCTCCCTTATTTTGCCTGTAGTTGGGATGCAATCTCCTCCTTGAGAAGAGGGGGTAGCTTCTCATTGGAGCTCCCCACAGTAACCGGGCCATTGTTTCAAGAACCTTTTTTCTTCTAATTCATCCAGGCTCTCGATTTTGAAACAATGCCTGTGTACAACCTGGTGATCAACGCCACAAACCCCGAACCGCTGGTGCCACACGTGCAGTATAACTCAAGCTCTACTACCAAGTTTAAAGTGTTTGTAAGAAATGTGGATGAGCCACCTGTTTTCCTGAATCCAGTTTACAAAGCAGAAGTGTCTGAAGACATTCCTGTCAATACCTTGGTCATGACGGTGGAGGCCTATGATCCTGAAAAGGATTCTGTACGGTAAAAAAGAGTGACTGCGATCAATTAATTGAATTTAGGGTTTCAAAAATTGTTCTAAAGGAGGTGCAAGGAAAATATGCCCAATACTTGGCATGTGGAAGTATACTGTTTTTACAGAAGTCTTATCTCCTAGTAGAAGGTGGATGTGTGGGCCAGCAACCCACCTGCAACAGACTGTTGGGTAGTGCTTTTCTGACCAGGTTTCTCTCTGTGCTGTGACAAACATCAGCCTTGAAACAGGAAACTACAAGGGAAGCAGGCTAATTTAAATCTCCAGGAAAAATACAGAGCTGGACTGAGAATAACAAGGTTCCATGTCCATAATGCTTTTATCAAAAAAATTGAAGCATATACTCTGTACCCCTGAACCAGTAGGAGAGTAGCTGCTTTTCATGTCATGCAGGAAACCACCAAAATGCACAACTTCAACTTTTTCTCCACCAAAATGCACAACCTTAAGTCCACAATTGAAAAATAATTAATTTTATTTCTTAGCTGTCAGAGATGACACATCTCCTTCTATTGTGGATGCAAAGCTCTGTGCAAGACAACTCCTGTGTTGTGTTGCATGGTGTAAATCTACCTTACACAGCAGATTCAGATAGAAGAATTCTTTGTGGCTTTTGCTGAACAATTCCCAGCTGGAATGCTGAACAGATCAAATCAAAACAAACAGTTCTTGAAATTTAACTAAAATTCAGCAAAGCACAAAGTGGTTGATGGAGTTGCACAATAGGACTCTTAGGCCTCCTGTGGATTCTTATTCCCAGAGATTTCTCATCTGGCTTTCTACTTGTGCCTAACTTTTGGGAACTTATCATGTTTGGCCTTCTGTCAAACAAGTTTGAAAGTGAGCCACATAGTCCAGAAGCTCTGGGGAATGATGACAGAGACACATGACAGGAATTCAGATATACATAAACCACATTTCTGCTAAAAATAAGTTAAAGGGCATAAAATAAAAAGTATAAAAAGCAGAAGAGGTACAATCATGCTGTTTCTACTGTAAAGGGTACTGAAAGAACAAAAACATTGAATGAGAAGATTGGGTCACTTCTACTCAAGCAAGTGCCTGTGCTTTAACCAGATCATATGTTCATGGTTAAAATTGTATAAGCAAATACCCAGGGACCTTAGAGATTTTTTAAACAGTGATATAAACACAATTATGTGGTGATGCTTAAAGCACTCTCTGCTCCAAGGCTGCTCCAATGGTAGTTAGAGGCTGCTCCAGAGCAGCAGAAGATAATCACCATAGTTCAGCTTGGGGTCCTGGTCCCTTCTCGATCCACAGTAGGGTGCCTGGCTGCACTGGCCCCTCTGTCCCCCAGCCCTTGGCTTGTGCCCTCATCAAAGTCAAGATGTGGGAGATATGATGGGGTGAGATGGATGTGGGGTTTGGACAAATCACACTTCTGGACTAAAAGCTCAATGCCATCCCAGGTTCCCCATTTAGAAGGAAAGTGGAATTGCAAGCACACAGGCATGCAGTAGCGATGGCATTTCCGTAGCTCTGCTCTCACTCTTATTCTGGATCATTTTGGCCTCTCTTCCTCTGTCTGTGTCTCCTGGTTGGCTGTAGTACTGTAGAACTGCAACTCTTCCAAGAGCCCTCTCTTTGAGTACAACCGAAATCAAGCTTCTTACATAAAATCAACAAATAAGTATTTGCTATGTCAGATTTTTTCCCAATTTGGAACCGTATATGTGATTTTTTTCCCCCCCTATTTCTTTCCAAAGATACTCCTTGGAAGGTGATGTGAGAAAATGGCTGAGAATTGATCCAGCCACTGGGCAGGTATACACTAATTCCCCTTTGGATCGAGAAGCAGAAGAAATATACTCAATAGAGGTTGTTGCATCAGAACAAAGTAAGTGACGAAACAACTAAATAGACACACAGAGGAATCCCCTTTCCTTAGTTTTTAATGAGGAATTATCATACCTACCATGACTAAACCCATGAAAAGTACTGGGACATGTAATCTCAGATATACATCCTGTGGTATATTCTTAGAAGTATCTATTTCTTAAGAATTTAAATTTCTTGCAGAAATCTTGATGCTGTAGATAACAAGGATTAAAATAGCTTTCATGAACTTGGGTATGGTCTTATATTTGCTTGAATGACATATAGAGAAGATTCAAATTTTTCACTGTTTCCAGTATTAATATTTTCTGCCACTTTTTTCTCTACAGCTATGAAGATTTTAATGTTTCTCTTAGGTATGGTTAGGCTTCCTGAAAACATACCTGGAGAGTAGTTTGTAACCTTCTACAGAATTTTTAATTTTATTATAATTAAAACTAATATTATGACAAATCTGAAATATATTAGGACTTCTAGTTCCAGCCATTAAAAACTTTCAATTTTGGCTTGCATTTCCTGTATATAGAAGAGGGGTGGGAAACTCAAGGCATTTCATGCTTAAGAGTGCTCCAAAGAGCACTGGTCACTTTGGATGTCACTGCTTGCCAGACATGGTGGAAATGACAGATTACTAGATATGATCTGCCTCCTTTCCCTTGCTAGTGTTCTGTAGTCAGCAAGAGCTGGTGGCAAATAAACCATGCTCGTTAAAAAGTAGTGGCAGCTACCACAAATCCCTCAGGACCTCCTGAGACCTTGTCTCTGCAACCTTCAGCCAGAACACCACCCCTCACTGCCTGTCTGACTGTGTACCTCTGTGACAGCTGCAAATGCAACAGCCCAGAATGTAAATCCAAGATGTGCATGTAACTTTGCATTCTGTTGAACTCGACAGATAATGCAGCTCAGAAATCCAAAGCACCCTTGATTCTACACTTACTCGATGTGAATGACAACCCTCCAGAAATAGCTACGGATTATCCTACTTTCTTCTGCTACCCAGTCAGTGGAGGAGAGAGAACTCTTATTCAAGCTACTGATGCTGATAAACAGTATTTTTATTCAAAATTTACTTTTTCCCTTGCGGATGAGATGAATACAAGAAATAATTGGGAGATCTCAAAATTCAATGGTAAGTTAATACAGCCATTCTTACAGTGATATGGAACTCACTTGGTACTCTGGTGAATATGAAGAATTACAGAATTCCTTTTCACTCTTATTATTGCATAACCAGTGTTCCATGTAGAAAAATACTGGGTTGTTGAGAACAGCAAAGTCACTAATTATTTTTTGCATGAGTTAAAACCTGGTATGTTGCAAGCTGTAATTTCATGAGTATTTTTGACAGAAAAAGCATGTAGATATGAAATATACTTGTGTTTAATGAACACAGATCACTGCTGAAAAAGAAATAGTACAGAAATGTACAGTTTGCAAACTGTAGATTTCTGACATTTCATATGCAAAAGGAAGTCCTGCTTCACAAAGTGAATGGAGCTTTTTGAAGGGGACAGTAAGCACATGAATAAGGGCTTGGCTGATAGAGACTGTCTGAATTAATGAAACATGTTTGATGAATTGTCCCACTAAGGAAAGCTGGGTTGTCACAAATTTAAAGTTATGAAAGAATAAACAATAATTTAAAACTCAGGACTTGGAGTAAACAGTCAGCTCTTGTAGTGAAGGGAGTTCATGTGTGGTTTTCCAAAGGTTTTTTCCTGGAATCTGCATAATTCAATACACACGGGTGTGCAATGAGGAGGAAAAGTTTACTCATTATACAAAGTTATTTGAGTAGGAACCAAGTGTGATAATTTCAGAACTTTCTTCCAAGACTGAGTTGGTTGAACAATAAAATTCACAGGTGCCAGTGACCGCAGGACTCCCAAACTCACTTTTGAAATCATGGGTGCTGAGCTGGCCACTATGAGTCAGGAAGGAGACCTGTAAGCAGCTCTATGGAAATGTGAGATCTATTTATCAGCAGTATTCAGAAAAACAGATGAAATATTGAGGATTACCAGGAAACAACCAGAAAAGAAATCTGAGGACATTGTTATGTCCCTGTATAAATCTGTAATTTCTTCAAGTTTTGAACTCCAGTCTCTCTATCTCTGTAAAAATGCAGCATAACTGGAAACAGGTTTAGATAAGGTGACAAGGATAATCAGAGTTAGAGTGGCCTGATATAAGGAAGTATATAGGAGCAGCAAAATAAGCTGCTACTTCTTATCTTGGAAGATGGTAGGGAAAAAATACAATAGAGAGATCTAAAATTTTGAATGCTATGGTCAAGGCGCCCAAGGGTTCATCCTTTACTCTCTCTTCCAGTGCACAAACCTGGGACCCTCAAGTGAAGCTTTTGGACTTATTTCCTGTGCAGATAGAATGAGGAGGTAGTTGACTTGGGAACTTGCTGTTGCAAGGTGTTGTCTATGCAGAAATTTTCTACAAGTTCAAAGCAAGAAATTACATCTTGCTCAAGAAGTCCCTGAGCTGAAAATGTTTAAAGGGTGAGAGGGCATTAGGAGAAAATAAAATACATGCTTGCTTTTTCATTGTAATCTCCATTTACTCTGGAGACAAGATTCTTACATCAGACCTTTGATCTGATCCCAGTGGCCATTATTACCTTTTCCAGTTTTCAAAGAGTCTTAGATGTGACAGTGTAAGTTCACTGGAAGGATGGTCTGACCTACATTTCCTCAGGAACAATTTAAGATGATTATGGTCTCTATGAGCATAGGGGATTATTCCTGGTCTAGATGGGATGCTATAAGTGTAGTGCTACCCAGATTTGGCCTGGTGTAGAAATTAGGAAGGAAATTTTATAGGCATATTATGCTGAAGGCCAGACTAGGCTTCTGGATAGTCCCTTTTTACTTAATGTCTGCAAACCAAAGAGATCTTGGAAGACATAGTGGAAAACAGGAATTATTAAGATGTGCAAAGCAGACTTAAAAAAAAAGAACATTTGCAGATGGTATGAATGTTGAACTAACTTTCCTTCTTCTGCTGACATGAATGTCCCATTTCCTACTTACAGCTACCCATGCTTACCTGTCCCCGAAACATGCTAACTTTGAAGAGAAGGTGTATGATGTTCCAATAGTACTTAATGACAATGGAAATCCGGCTTTGCAAAACAAAGTGAATCTTAAAGGTATTCTGTGCACAGAACTATTAGCTTAAAGACAGAAGTTACATTTATAAATAACCAAATGTGACTACTGAACTTGTCATTAACCTCCTGGCATTTCCTTTTGCAGTAAGCATCTGCAAGTGTTCCAGTGAAAATTCATGTTTTATTGAAATAGACCGTGAGCACTCCTGGCCAACCCCTGGGCAGGCAATTGGGATTCTCCTTGGGGTCCTGCTTATCATTGGTAAGTCACTTCTTCTTGGTTTGAAGCCAGATATCTGAGATAAGATGGTGCTGCTGTATTTCTGACCCTAATTCTCTTGCTGGGTGAAGATTCGTCATGCACATTGCAGAATGAGTGAAAGAGGGAAGATCCCATGATTGTGTATCATGATGGCTGCAAACTTCTAAGTTTCTGTTGTAAGAAAAACATCCAAGGGCACAACAACCTGCTAGGACAGAAGAAACAGCTGAACTTGTAGCATATTTTCATTTCATTGCTACTTACTGTTCTTTGCCTGTCAGGGAGGGGATTTGAGCTTTGTCTTGGGAATCTGGGTTACAGTGAAAATAGTGAATCTTCCTACTTACGGTATCTGTACCTCTAGCTTACAGTTATCATGTTGCTCACCTATTTCAGCTTTGCAGGTTTACATCATTCGTATTCATTCTAAAACTGATAAAGAGGAAATAAATTTATATGCAGTGTAACAAGCTCATCATGATTTTAAATGATCAAATTATATATTACATATGTGTATATATATACATATATATATGTATGACACTTTGCCATCTGGTCAGATCCTAGGGGAAAACTTCCTTTGGGGCATCTAATCCTGCCCAGCAGTGCCTTGGGTCCATGCTCTTGGTCCCATGCTTGCATGATCCTTCCTCAAAGTTGCTTCTGTTCAAGAGGTAAAGCACTGTGGATATTACAGTGCAGTGTCATGGCCCTTGCTGGAACATCTTTTCAGAAAGTTTACTCTTCCCTTTACAGACAAACACTCTCTGTTTTTCAGGTGCCATTTTAGCGGGTGCATTTTACCACATGAAACACAAAGAGAAAAATGAAAAGAGCCATCCCAAAGATGCAAAAGATAAGGCTGAACTCAGCACACTGGCTTAATGACTGTTGCATCAAGAGACCAAACCACTTTCTGGGTTGTGGATGAGTGAACTTTGAAGCTTCCAAAGCCCAGAGGTACACTATCACAATAGGATAAAACAATGCAAAACGAGACTCCCAGGGGTTTGGCCTCATTTTTACACCTAATACTATCTAGTCACAAAACATAAAATATATGTAACCTTCAGCAGCAACCATTAATAAACATACCAGCTTTGACTGAAGTGTTAACTCATGACAGCACCAAATGCTGAGCTCCTTCAAGGATCTATACATGGGACCAGTCCTCTTCATCTGCCAGCTGAAGTAAATACGGACTTTACATTTTGTCGACCTGCACGTATTTGTCTCTTTCCAGCTCAGTAAGCCACTGAAGAGCAGATTGGGGAATAAAGTCCTATGCTACATCTGAAGATACCCCGTGAAGTTGTGGGAATCTCTCTGACTCTCAGCAAAGGAGTTCACAAAATTATTACAATCTGTAATATGCCCTGGGTCATGCCTTCTTGCATTATGCTGAATTTGTATTATCGATGTGACATTTCAGTTTTTCTTTTTTGATATCACATAGAGTAAAACCAGTTTGTGAAGTGCCATGGCCTTTCATTACAATATCCAAGTTAAAAAAAACTATGCCGAGTAATATGCAGTTTTATCTTACTTCTGCAAATATTGCTCTTGTCCCCTACACATAAGAATAAAAATGTTCTTTAAAGATTTTAGTCCCTGCTTATTTTATAAAGTAATTAAAAAATGAGGAAGTGCATAAGAGCAAACCATTGCTGCTTGGTTCTCTGTTGTATTTAACCCTTACTTTAACATAGTACAGATTAAAAAGGGCTCTCAGGCCAGAGTGATATGTGTCCAGCTGTTTCAGATGCAATGATTGCTGGAGCCACTTCTATCCTAGTTACAGTAAAACGTATTTGAAGCCAGGGTGACACTCAGAGAAAAAAGTCTTTCTCCTGACAGCATGCCCATAGAAGGGCATTTTTGGTGACAGTTTGAGGAAGGCTTTTCTTTTAAGCTATAAATAAAAGCTGACAAATATTGTGTTAAACTGAAAAGACAATATACTTTTGAAAACATTCAAGAAAAGGTCTTATGGAAAAGGGTATATTTGTTTATCCACGATTTTTTTTAATGGCTTTTGCATGCAGCACAGAACTAGAAAGAAAAGAGAACTTTTTTAGTAGCATTGCATTTGTAATAGGTTTTCCTAGAATGCTGCCAGCAAAAACTTTGCTTTTGGGCTTCAGCAACACAACACAATTGTTGTACCTCTTACCCCAGCTTCCCCAGCTGTTGGAGCTCTGTTATTTGCTGGGGGGCTCACTGCTGGAATGTATTTATTTTATGATGGGAATGTAATCCTTTATATTTGGAAAGTATGACATTCAGTTACATCAGTGTGTCCAGGGATTAAGATTAGTATATTGTTTTATAAATAAAGGAGACAAAGTTCAGCAGTCATTGTATTTGTGTATACCAAGATGGCTTTATCTGAAGATGGGGAAAATGTGCAGAAGTTCCCCTTTGCTCTATGTCCCTGACCTCTCTTTGTGTTTGCTAAGTTTACTCAAGTGCATGTCCTGTTTTGAACATTTTTTTTTTTCTGTAGAAGGGTCAAAAAATTTCTTTCTTCATTTACCTACATTCAGGACTGGTTTGACGGCAGGACCTTGTCCCTGTCCCCAGCCTAACGTTGCCCCTGTTCCTTGTGTCTCACGGGCTAATTCACTGCACCCTCTCCCACCTGCCCACAGACTGGTGGAAAGCAGAGCTTTTCCGACAAGCAAAAAAGTTCCCCCTCCCCAGGGTCTTAAACACATTTTCAGTCTTGAATACTTTCAGTCTCAGTGCATTGGGAATCAGCCCTCCTGCAGGTATTTACTAAATGTTGTTCACGTGTGGTAGGAAAGTCTGAAGGAAACTACCTTGGGGTGTTCCTCCTCTGGCATCTGGCATCAAAGCAACAGCCCCTTGACATCCCACACCTCTGTGTCCATCAGAGCCCAGGCCTGCAGCACCCTGACTGCCTCAGCACCCCTGTGCCCCCTTCCCCAGCCCACTTGCCAAAAGCCCCCTGTGTTCAAGGGACTTGGGTTGTTCACACTTGCATAGGCATAGCCAAGCAGTGCAGCTGCTGGCTAACCTGTGCCTGGGCACCCACTGCTTCTTAGTGCTTCCTGTACTGTTCAAACTTCAATGAAATTTAAAAAAAAAATGAAAAAGAAAGAAAAAGAAAAAGAAAAAGAAAAAGAAAAAGAAAAAGAAAAAGAAAAAGAAAAAGAAAAAGAAAAAGAAAAAGAAAAAGAAAAAGAAAAAGAAAAAGAAAAAGAAAAAACCTCATTTTCAACCCTGACACAAATATTCTCATTTTTTTTCACCCTCCTCCTGCCTGCCTGTCAGAACTTCTCCCCCAGCCCTCCAGGGCTTATTTAACCCAGTCCTGCTCTGGCTCCTTCATTGGTTCAGTCTTTTTTGGGAGCCAGACAAAAGTTCTCACCCAGCCTTAACTCTCCCCCTGCGGCAGACTGCCCCTGCCTCCTTTCCAGAGGACAAATTCAGTTTTCTTTGGGTCTCTGGAGAGGAAGAGAAGCAATAGTTATTGTTTTTCCTTCCCACCATGCTTCCCACCATCTCCAGCTGGTTCCCAGGTCCCTGCAGGAGTGGCAGACATTAGGACATTTTGCCCTTGTGTGTTACACTTTTGCTCTGAGTTCAAGAATGAGCACTTCTTTTTGAACTCCTCCAAATCTGGACAATGTCTTTTAGTCACTGCATCCTCCAAAGCTGTTTCATTGGCACTTACTGGTAATAACTGGCAACACATAAACTGAAGTTTACATATAAAAGTGCAAAGCTACAGACAGTATTGAATTAAGAATTTTCTATAGACTTCCCCAAAAAAATAGTTCTCTGAAGTTGGCCACATTATTACTTTTTTAAACACCTTGGAAAGAATGCCTTTTTTTTTTTTTTCCTCTGAGTAATGGATAGCGTATATTGGCATGATTTTCACACCTGCAAGAATAACTAGGAAGAAATTAGTAAGGTCTGCAAGCATTAATGCTGAAGTAGTGCTTTAAATATATGATACAAGAAAATGATAGAGGAGCGAAAGCTCTCCTAATTTATGTCCACAAATTCTTAGAATAGCTTTATACACTGATAGGAGAAGGACAAATTTTGAAAACAACATTGATGGCTTTGGACTCCAGTTTTTGCCAAGAACAATATCACACAAGAAGTCCAGTGATGAAATCTGCTGAGAATATGTCCTCTGGCACTGCTCCTTTCCATGGCTCCTCCTCCAAGCATGCAGCATCTCATTAAAAGGTTTACAGACAGCAAAAGATGTTTCAGTGCTTTCTAATTCTTTTTTACAAGATTAGAGACTTATCAGACTTTTGATTATCTCCAGGATTAATGGCATACATTAATTAAACTGTCATTATGCCTCTTTTTCCACCCTTTGTAAATATAAACCTGAAAAGTAAGAACAAGATTTTTATCTGGATTTATAGAACAAATGCCACAGAACAGTAGTTACTGGGGGTGAAAAATGTGTCCTGAATCCACATTTTGAAGGAGAATTCATCAGGCCTCACGTGATCCAATGTACAAGGCTGTATCCACCATGTGCAGCTGCTGCTGTGCCTGTTGCTGGGGATAAAGCCGAGGCAGGCGCTGGTGGCAGGGGCATGGGTGGCGAGGGCTGTGTGCCAGCAGCACGGCTGGGATGGATGTGCCATGCAGCTGGCTGGAGCCACTGGCACATGTCAGGGGACAGACTCCCCCCAGATCTGGGGAATGCAGAGAGAAATGTGTTTTCACCCAAGAAATGGCTCTGCAGTGAGCTGTGCTGCTGCGATAGGCAAGCACCATGTGAAGGAGCAGAGAGGGAATTGAGGTGGGATTAGGAAGTTGGCTGATAAAGAGCAACTGGTTTTGGCTGAAAGCAGATGAGTCCTCTCCCAGTCCCTCTGTGTGGCAGCTAATCCCAAATGCACCTCTCTAGGAGTTTGAGAAGACTTTATTTTAAAATAAATAAACACATTTATTCCCAGTGTTATTTTCCACAGATTTGCCAGAACTGGAAGCTGAAATTATCTAATTGCTTATACAAACTAGAACAAGGAACAGATGTAATCCACAGAGTTACCACTGCTTCTAGACACCAGAGATCTTGTGCTCAGTTCTTTAAATAGGGTTCCAATGCCATTCACCCACTCACAGAAGTTCTCTCTCCCTCTTGATTGATTTTAGGTCTTGAAAAGAGGTTTCAGAAATTTGCAGCTTCAGTTGCCAGACAATGTCCCAGAGCTACAAGTCTGTGCCATCAAGGGACCATCCTTTCCTCAGAACATTCTGTGATTCTGTGATCCTCTATGGACAGAGCTCAGGAAAAGGAAGCACCACAGGCTGTGACCAAAGGGTTACAATGATGTACATGAGCATCCATTAGTGCAGTAAAATACTACAGAAACATTCAGCAAGATGGACAGCATGATCATGTTAAGGACCCTAAGCCAGGAAAAATGCTTCCAGTTTTTTTTTATTACATATTCCAAAAGAAAAAACAGAAGATTAGACAAACCAGCAGCGGCTCTTTGAACTTGTTGCTGGACAGCATGTTCCTCCACTGATAAAGACTGTACAGCACAGGGAGACAAACTGCTTGAGCCTGTTCTGTTTACAGCTTTGGGGCCAGAGATGGGTGATGGGTACAGCTGCAAAAAGATATTCTGCCACAGATGAGCTCCAGGGGAAGTGTCTTGTGTTTGCAGCTAAGATGACAACTTTTATTGCCCACTTACGTCTGGTTATGACATCAGTATCAAAAGTGGGGGTTAAGTAAGCACCATCTCACCATTCCTGAATCGTTTCATAATGCTGAATATGGTCAAGAAATGTGTTTCCACAACGTCCTTTTCCAGTTCACTATTCCTCAGGACTATCACTAACATGAAAATCCTCTAGGGATGTGTAAATCTAGCACATGAT